ATAGACTGATATGTGATTATACTTTGATATCAGCTTTTAGAAGAAGGTTCAGCAATTTGTGCTCATGCATCATAGACCAATCTCCCATTTGTGTATCATTTAGCTGTACATCATCACCACATACAGCATTCAGTTCTTTGGTTAAGATGAAATACTGTTCTAATTTACATCATGGGATTCACAAAACAGATTTTTATTTTGAGATGTGTGGCATTGGGTCAGATATGTTCTCTTTGTCTTTGCTTGCTAGAAATGGAACCTTCTCTGCAGTGCCTGGTATTTGAGTTTGTTTTGTTTCAATCACAGTGCCGTTTAGTCTTTGGTTTAACTGAATTACTGTTAGATTTGATTGGCACAGGGACTTTCCATCATTAGGTGATGAAGGATGGCAATGGAAAAGCAAAAGAAAACATTTGTAGAACTGTGGAAAGAAAGAAATAAAACATTGTTAACATACAAATTGTATGTGGCTGAATTATTAAACCTGCCCACCATTACCATTACCCTTAAGGTAACAACTATATTTTACCAGAAAGTTAACGTTAAAAAAAGAAGTGTCAACTTGAAAAAGGCACAGTGCAAAAATATGATAGATACACCCTCCCAGTCCCCCAGCCCGAGGCAGAAGGTACAGTATACTGAATAGCTAAAGGAATCCTGCCATAGGAAATACATAATCTGTGTTGCTAACTTTGTGAAAATGCTAGCTGCTAGGCCATCATGCTCTCTCTTCAATACCTTTTGAGTCACTTACCTGGCACAGTCATGCAGCAAGCACAAACAAAAAAGGTTATTTTAACCAAGAGTGAATATGACTTGTTAATACTTAAGAAGTCACTTGTAGCACCCCAGACAACTTAACAATTAAACAACTTAAACATTTACGAAGTTCCATTCCTAAAAATAAAGCTTCAGTTTCCTATAAATGTTCTCTTCATTCCATGACCACATAGGCTCTCGTTTCCGCCTTTTAATGAGTTCAGGTGAGGTGGCAGCATTGTCCAAAGGAGGGAAGGGTCCTGACATATAAGTCGGCAGGAAACATCTCAATCTACCAACATTGGGTTTTACAGCGTAGTCCATGCTGTGTTCCTACAGGCTGTTGGTTATGGCAGCATGGCTTTTGCTAGGTATTGCTGTCTATTATAACAGACAGGGCTGGGTGGGACGGTGTGCCACTCAGGCTACCTTCTGGGCTACAGGCACACTATACATTGGCACAGCACCCTGATTAGTAGCTGAGGGATGCAAACTGACAACGCCAGCATGGATCTGCTTCAGTTCTTGGCTAGGTCAGAATGTTGAAGCAAGACAAGGGATCCAGTAGGATCACAAAGTAGTTGCTCATAATTATCACACGTGCATACAAAAAGATCCATTCTAAGAGTTACTATAGGCAGATGAATGCATTTAGGGAATTTTTATTATCAAGGTTTTGCAAACACTTTTTGGTCTAGTTATAGATTTTTTTCCACTAAAAAAAATATTCCGTCGTTTAGGGTAGTTTGAATAGATCTACATAAATAAAATAGATACCCAAATGTGTCCTTCCACGCTGCTTTGCAGTGGTTATGTTCAAATAATGCTGCATAAAGAGAGGCTACAATATGTATGAAATCAGACATAAAGAAACAGAAAGAATAAATCACAAGAAATGCTTCATGGGCTGCCACTAACTTTAATAAAGTCAGTATACAAAGTAACCCACACAGTACCCTATCTCAGCACTCTTGGAAAAAGCAGTGTAAACCTATTATTTATCTGGCTTGGGCACAGATAAGCAAATACTAAAACCCAGATCTCCATGACAAGCGTCGTCTGCAGCTAAGTTCCTTGACTTAATGACTTTCAGTGACGCAGCTTGCTGACCAGTCTGCCAGTTCACAGAAGGCACAGGAGGAGGGCTTGTCAGCAGAACAAAAGTAAGTTCTCTGTGGCAACATTGCAGCTTTTTGATAGAAATTAGTGACACAGTGTGCCAATTTCAGAATAATGCTACACAAGCATTCAGTGCCAAAGTTCAGTTTACCCTACCCCAACACTAAAGAAACTCCTGAAAAGCACTAAAATGTACTAGCAGTCAGTACCAATAATGTAATATACTGTACATTGGGTATTCAAATATCAGCACTCTCCGTAAACAACTTTACTAAATGATTACATGAAACATACAAGTGTGCATTATATGTTGAAACAGTTTAGAATATGCTCGTGCAACACTACAGTGGCTCTCCAGTTGTCACATACAATGCTACAATCTAAGACAGATGCTGTATCTATGTTACTATTCCAACATTTTTCCTTCTTCTGCAATGAACAATGTTTTTTCAGTTGCCCTTGTACTTCAGTAGATTTTTATTGCTTCTCTTTACTCAGTTTGCTTCCTGAATACATTAGATCTCAAACGCTTTTCATTAAATAGAAAGTTCCTGATGACCTTTAGTGCTCTCCAGTTGCTCATTATGGCATGCAGAGCAAGATAACACATTACCCACTATTTATTGCGTTTAAATAATGAATAAAGTAAGATTGCAGCCATTGAACATGTATGCATGCAATCATTAAAGTCTGCTATTTAAAACAAGAAATAATTTGTTTTAGAAAGAAGACTGCCTGTAGGGAGATTTGTCCCCTATTCATACTGCAGTTGCTACAAGGCTTTTAAAGTCAATTTCTTTAGCTGAAATATCACAACATTTTTACAGGGCTATATTTGTCATACTTAAATACATAGTAAAAGTGTTGCAAACTGGCTATACATTGTAAAAAGTAGGGTATGTGTTGCAATGTTCCTGCCATGTTGGGTATGGACAGCAATGGCCTGGAAGAGGTGTTGGGGCTTGTAGTGATGAAGAGAAGTTATGCAATGCATATAGGTATTTCTGATGGGTATCACTTAGTCTTGGGAAGTGGTGTCAGCTCAAATTAGTCTAGGGGATTTTCTGTTTTTGTAGGTTGACATGGGCAGCTGGACAGAGGAGTAAAAGGATGATTATCAGTCTGAAGAGATGCATGCTTACCATTCCAGTGTGAAAGATGCAACTTGGGCAAGTGACTTAGCAGTGTGGAAAGTGGGCAAGTGTCAGTGAGTGGCTGTCAGCCCAGGAATGGGGACAGAGTGGCTGAGTGTCTCTTAGAAATAGTGCAGTAATAAATGGAAACAGAAAAAACGTGGAACTATATTTGGACATACATACACCCACATGATGTTACTCTTGCATACAAGGTCTATCTCTTATGATTATTTTAGTACAAACTAATGCTAGCATGCACTATAGGGGGTAGGATGCATGCCGCTTTATTCACAGGACTACTTTTCAACTGTACAGACCACCAAGCAAGAAAAAAGTTAGATGGTTTCATGCACACACTTTACAACCCCTTCATTGGACAATTCTCTCACTAAAATATTCTACACAATGTACTAGGTTTATGTCACAGCATGAAAGGTTTACATAGTTACATAGTATTTGAGGTTGAATAAAGACATAAGTCCAACCTATTGCTGATGTGTGCGTATGTATATACACACGCACATACACACATATATAAGGTATTTTATGGTTTCTCAGGAAATCGTCCAAAAGCTTCTTGAATGATTCCACATTCTTAGCTGAGATCACTGCCTCTGGCAGCAAGTTCCAGACCCTAACCGCTCTAACTGAAGAACCCCCTTTACCCCTTGTGCTGGAATTTCTTTTCCACCAATTTTAGGTGGTGGCCTCTAGTCTTTGTGACGGAGTTAACAGGTTTATCCTGGTTCTTCTGGCATTTCAATATTCTGTTTCAGTTGTTGGCTACCATCTGCCACAAAGATCAGTTTGGTACCCCTATTCCAAAATGGTTTGCCCTATGTAGTGCCACCATTAATTTAGGACAATTTGTTTTTAAAATAGAAGGATTTACAAAGAACAAATGGAGGTTACGTGTAAAAAAAAACAGTAAATAATATATAAGAAAAATTGTTTATTTTGTTAACATTGTCCTAAACCTATTTAATAGCTTGTACTGGGTTCTGTTTTGTAGCTCAATCATCATAGTCATTAGACCTCATTCCCATATACACCGATCAGCCATAATACCGTGTTTTCCCGAAAGTAAGATCTACCCCGAAAATAAGACCTAGCACTATCTTCAGGGATTTCTGTAATATAAGACCTACCCCGAAAATAAGACCTAGTTCGGTGGTAGATCTCATATTACAGACATCCCTGAAGATAGCGCTAGCCGCAGCTCCCTCCCGCCCACACGCACGCACGCCTGGCTCCCTGGACGGCAGAGCGGACAGCTGCAGCCAGGTAAGACATCCCCCGAAAATAAGACCTAGTGTCTTTTTTCGTAGAAAAAAAAATATAAGACACTGTCTTATTTTCGGGGAAACACGGTATTATGGCCCCTGTGAGGTGAAGTGAATAACATTGATTATCTCATTACAATGGCACCTGGAAGTGGGTGAGATATATTATGCAGCAAGTGAACATTTTGTCCCTTAAGTTGATATATGCACATGTCAGTGCAAACATGGACCAGGCCTTTTCTAAGCATTTGTGTCCTCTACTATCCATGAACTCAGCTTCTGTTTGTAATTGCATCATCAAAAAACATGGATGAGCTCAGAAGCCAAAGATGCATACACCGATGCACCTTTGTCATCTGTTGGGGACTGTACAGGATACCTTTGATCTGGTCTATGTAGGAACCCCAGTCCTAGGGTGATCCCATTTCTGACTGACAAACAGAGTAGCAGGAGGCATGGTGAAGGTGAATATCAGTGGGTTGAGGGTTGCTTTTTCAAGAGAACATGTCCTTGAATTGACAAAATGACAGAATCTCTTGAATAGTTTTTATGATTTGGATATTTGCTTACATTTCTAAATATATTTATTCACATGCTAGATAAAAATAAGGTATCAGTTTTTTATCAACTGTATTCCTAATTCTCTGAAAAATTGTGTTACAACATAATATATTAATAATTGGCTTCTTTCTGTGTTTCTCAGGTATCCTCATTATGATGTCCTTATGCAGGGAAGTCCATGTGTATGAGTACATCCCTTCTTACCGACAGACTGACCTCTGCCATTACCATGAACAATATTATGATGCAGCATGTACCCTGGGGGCATACCATCCCCTTCTGTATGAAAAAATGCTTATTCAGAGGATTAATAGGGGAACAGAAGAGAATCTTCTTCGAAAAGGGAAAGTCACTTTGCCTGGATTTAGCTCTTTACACTGCCCTGCCAATGATCATATTACATAAGGAATGGTCTCTTTGTCTTGGAAATAATGTGCAATAATCTGCTACTGTTGTCATGTCAGCAACAATACTTGAAGAAGACATCTCGTAGACCATTGCAAGGCACAGGTCTCTAAACTTTAACTGACTAGTAGACATAGAAATGTCTAAGCCATTGAGTATTTATTTCTGTTTTGTCAGAATAGGGTGAGCTCTGTAACAAGTGGAGAAATCTTGCGAATGTGCTAGTTAGTAAAAAAAAAAATCAATATTATACTATGGACTTGAAGGAGCTGCTCTCATCGATCCATATTGTGCCATACGTTACCATGTTTTTAAGAAGCTGTGAGTTTCTTTTGTACTTATAAATACATCAAAACCTCTTCCAGAATGGGTGACCTTGATGTTCTGGAGCTGAAATACCCTTATTGATCCAATGTCTATGTGGCTCGTAATTAAACACAGCCTTTTTTTACTCAACATGGCTCATCTGGAGGACACATATGGACACTTGCATATTTTTTTGTTATGTAGTGGGTTTTTTAGAGAAATGTCGCTTGAAAAAAAACTAGTTATTATTTAAAGGTTTTGTTGATTAAAAATTCAGAATCGTTTAAAACTAATGGTGTGTGGTCACAGATGAACATAATGCTTTTTAAGTGCCACACCTGCATCCATGTTTTTTTTTGTTATTTTGCACAGTCTAATTAGCAAACTCCTAATTAGAAATGAGATATTGTCAAAAGAGATGGTTCTTGTATAGAAAGTTGTTTATTGTCTACCCAGGAGCTGTTCAGCATCTGTATTAATGAATTTGTCTGCAGCTTCTCTTTCATTTCAGAACCATATTATGTTAGAATGTATTTGCATTAAAATTAGCTTGCAATAAAGTTAGTCTGACTGCATATTCAGCTGTAGACACTCACTTTGGCGAATAACGCATGATAGAATATAGTGTTTGAATTACTAAATGGATGAGAATATGTGGGCAAAGGACCACACTACTGTATGTATAGTATGTTCTGAGCCTCTTCTGTGATGTATTAATGTCTTAGATAGCAAAATCTGCATTGGAAGGACTGTAATATAAATGAATAGAGGTCTCTTTTTTTTTTAAGAACTTGAGTCAAGTGACCACATGGGCACAGTTTTATATGGCACTTGTTGCTGTGACATGATACAATACACTGCTGAGTATCTGAGCTGCCTCACCTGCCATTTTTAGGCAGTGGTACACTGTGCACCCACTTAATACATAATATATACTGTTTGTTGTTGTTGAAGTACTTGGATGCACTTAAAGGTAACCTGTAATGTAGATCATTATGGCTGACTTCTTCTGAAAATACTGTCATGCTTATTTAATGGCTTCCGTCATTTGTTAGTGACTGGCCTTAAAAAAAAATGGCACATCAAGAGTTCTGACTTTACTGGCTGCTCGCTTGTTTACGGTCAGTACATCAGAAACAATTGAGGTCAGGGGCAGCCAAGCAAATAGCATTTTCAAAGGAGGTTAGCATTGGTAGCCTGTTTTTTTTCCTTTTGGCACTGGTTTCCTTTAAACCTAGTTTTAATGTGTACCAGTATGGTATAATCAAATGAATGACACTGAACTGTGCAATTTCTCTCACTTTTGTAAATTCTAGACACATGCCTAGAGTTACTATTAAGCAAAACCCTGTGGTTCAGTGTTGTCACACATAATTTCTAAGGATCTCAATACTCTTGTGGACAAGTGTTAGATAATTTTGTTGTGAAGAGACACATGTTTTTTTTAGATTGGATCCAGCCAGGAGGAGACTTTTCTAGGGATCTAATAAAGTTTCACTATTCCTAGCCACCCTTATCTGTTTTTTGAAGTTCACTATTCAGTAGGGAACTATAATTGCTTTTACAATCATTACTGAATTTTAGAAAAATTACCTGTAAGGATTATTTGCTATATATAAACCCATATCCTGGCACAGTAACATTTTTAAGGTTACTAAGACATAGATAGGTTCTTTGATGGCAAGAGACGCAATAGATGGGAAATCCTGTCTTGCTCTCAGTTATCCGCATTCACTAAGAATTGGTGGTTAGTAAAGACCAACTCATTTTTTGGTACCTCGGGTTATATTATAAGACTATGTAGAGACTAACACTGGGGTATGCAAGTTCCGAATTTGGCAGCGTATAACACTGAGGACTATATCACAGTAGCAATTCTGTTTTGATGACAACATTGCTGAAGGTTTCTTCACGCTTGAGTGCAGTTCAATCAAGTGCATTGCCTTGATCAATGCATGTTATGTTGAACAGGCCCACTCATTTTCAAAGAGCCACAATAATTTTGTTGCTAGGTGCTCAATTTGCCATTGATTGGGAAGCACCGTTGATCAAATTAACACCCAACAGACACTTGCACCAAAAAAGACCTAGGCTCTACTCTCAATATTTATCAGTATACCAATAACACAGACAGAAACAACCCATGATTTGTAACCATAAAGTCATAGACTTTAGCAATACAATTGCATAAAACCACTAATCCTGAAGGCCTGTTATGGTGTATATGCTATATTACAAGGTATTCATACATGCATCACATGACTACTCCCACCAGTATGTGTGTTTCCAATATAGAGCAAATGTCTACCAAGCATCACTGTGATACAATACTTCCATTAGTATGTGTGTTTCCAACAGACAGAAAATACCCACACAAATTTTACTGACTCAGTGAACTCTGTAATGTTTGGTGGACATTTTCTGTCTGTTGAAAACACACATAATAATGGGAGTATCATGAAACATTGACAGTTTCACTTGTGAGCCCCATATGTGCCTTTTTTCACGGTTGACAGTTGGGTGGCTGTTTATTGCCATTAGAAAGAGTAGTGTGGTATCTCTGTGGATTGGCATTTATATTTGCATTGTCAGCAATTTCATTTGACAGCTAATGTCTGCGCAGGGGATGTTCTTTACAACAGCGTCAATATAGGACATAGCATAACTTAAAAAATGCAATCCACAGCTTTGTAGTTGAATAAAAATGTAAGTGCATTCTACCTTTACATCAGATCCCATACACCTTTACCCTTAATGCAATATGCATATGATCCACCAATTGTGAAGTTAAATGCATCCTCATGTTTAATATGACCAATCGTATACCCTGTTGTATGGATCAACAATTGTGCAATTTTGCAGAAGAATTTATAGTCTTCTGATGACCATTATTTTGCACACACCATCATCCATAGCTTTTTATAGGTTACCCGTCGTTATTACAGCATGTACACTGTGTCTGGCCTTCAGGATTATGGCTACAAGTCATGGCTTGTTTTTAAATAGGTTATTAGTATATTAATGTATATTGAGGGTAGTGCCACTTAATGCAGGTCTTTTTATTGTGTGTTGATGGTCAGGTTTGTTTATTTTGAGGTGGCATGCATGTTGATGTGGCAATAAAAAGGAATGGCCAAGCACTCCATCGTTCAAACTCTGTTGGTCTTACAAGACAAGACACAGAGAGCGCCTCCATCGCATAAAAACTTTTTAATAAACGAATAAAAAATGGTATATAGGTACTCACAAAGGACGAATTATTAAAAAGTTTATTAAAAGTTTTTATGCGATGGAGGCGCTCTCTGTGTCTTGTCTTGCAGTGCTGAGGTTGTTCTGAACCTGGTGAGAGCTGCCACCTTATCACCCTGCAGTCCTGAACATCATTGATTAACACTCTCTTGAACCAAAATCTGCTGGCGCGCTGTTTGATTTTGTCTGCTCCATCACTAGCCAAGCCAGTGAGATGTTGTTCTGTTGCTGGTCACTCACCTGCGATCAGGATTCTTCAGTGTTTTGGCCACTAAGGGAACTACTTACATTAGATAGAGTGGCAGCTGCACCTCAGTTAGAATTGCCAATGTGATAAAGGACTGAGGTCTCTGGTTACAAATGTGTGTACAAACTGGTGTATTTACTCGTTTTTACATTAAATGAGTGCTACTTTGATCTACTTATGTGACCATAAAGAACACCAATCTCTATAGGAGCATCCATGGGCCATGTAGTGTAGTGTCCACATGGAGAACTCAACAAAATTAATGCCAGTGTGTACATATCCTGAACGTTTATGGAACTTGGTACCGCAAAAACGTTGTAATGCCACATCTCTAAAAATTTTAAAATTGTGACCAGTAGCTGACTACCCCCAATTATAATGACATTCTGTCCCAGGTGGCTCAACTAAAATTGCTGATTTACTGTACTTTTGTTGATCTAAAGTAATGTTTTGTTAAAAACTACACTTAGGAGAAATCTACAGTATTTTAATCCGTCATCCTGAGTTACAGGATCACTCATAAACTTTCTCTGATCTTTTTGTATTCTTAGTGTTTTCAAATAGGAGCCAGACTAATTTTTACTAGCTTTGATGGTCTTTTGGTATTAAAAGTTTGTTTTTAACTTTCTGGCTTATCGTCTGTTAGATAAATTCTAAAAGAAAATGTTTTCCAAGAGCATCATTTTTGAGCAATGTTTGTACACATTTTAACACTTTTCTATTTTGGTTTTGTAAATTTTTATGTATGCACAATGTGTAGATTATTTCATGCAAAATAAACTATTTGGTTTTATTTGTATTCTGTGTCTCTTTACTTTTGGCTGATCTATTTTAAATAACAAGTTAGATGAATAATCTTTTTAAAAAATGTGTGTCATTTGTCATTGACCAAGAAATAAGCATGCAGCAAGTAAAATCGGAAACACTTGATCTGGATCATAGCTTAGTGACTCAGAATATTCAAGGCAAGTTATTTGCATGACATAAAGGCGACTGGCAATTTCAGAAACAAAGGTTAAACTCTACAGGTTATGCTGGGATGGGACTAAAATAATCGAAAAGCTCTCAACTACAATCAGTGTGTAGCACAGTAAAGCCTTCTTAAAACAGAAGCTATCCCAAAAATAAGAGGATTATTCCTCATTTCAGCATAGTGGGCAGAGCCATGCAAATCATTGCTTTAAGCCCCAAATAGCCAAATGCACATCCAGAGCTGCTGACGTATAGTGCAAATACATCTTAATATTATAGTAATTTATTCCAAACTGCATACAGCTCTTTTAGGCTTTTTGACAATCAGTGCAGTATATAGAAACCATGGCTTCCATGGAGTAGGGCTTGGGACCCAACGCAACAGTATAACCATACATATTATGATGAAAAGGAACTATAGGAATCAACAGGCCATCAACTCTAATCAGTGAGCAGCACAGTAAAGCCTTCTTAATAGAGAAAGTATTCAAGTTTCATTCAAACACAGATCCCAAAAATAAGAGGTTTATTGCTCTTTTCAGAACAGTGAGCAGAGGCATGCAAATAATTCCTTTATGCCCCTAACATCCAAATACACATCTGAAGCGCTGGTGTAAA